TAAATCATCGTATCCCAAACAGACGACATCCTCGAGTTCAATGAGACGACATCAACAAAGCATCAAAGGGAGAGACAGTGCTCAAAGTCGGTAGCAAAGTAGAGGTTAAGTAATGTTAATCTTGTAGATATAGCCAGGTCAGGATACCATAGATCCGTCATCACAAGCTATTAGGACCTTAAGCCTACTTGGTCATGAACCTGGTAGACCCAATACAAACAAAAATCCATTGTCAACAATCTGTGAATTCCATAGCCCAAGGGGACCTCAGTAGCTCTAAGGTCAAGAGAACAAAACTCTAAATTCTATGACCCAATGTAGGTAGGAAGAGTAAATGTCGGACTTATACCTGCCAAAGTGGCGAGGAAGTCGCTGAAGTGGAAAAAGAAGAGAGGTAGTGTTGTAAAGTTGATACGTTCTCACAAAGGACTTACTCACTGTCTAGGTTGGGGAAGCCTTTAACACGTTAAGCATGCTAAACAATTACTTAGGTAAAAACTATGTTGGGTCAGTTGAGTTGAAGAAGCACAACATGCAATATAATGTAATAATCTACACGAGTCATAATGTGGAGGTCATATTAGTATGACTTGCGTTATGATCATGCTATGCAACTCATTTAAAATTTAGTCTGAAGGCCATGCAATAAAATAAATACATAATTTGAAAAACTTTAAATATTTTAATTATAAATTTTAATTAGTCTTAATATTTTATTAGTATTTTTGTAGAAAATTTAAAATATTTTGTCCTTACAGAACCGAAGTTAGGTTCACATGATTCCCAGAAAATTCACAAGAAAAAAATGATGAAACCAAGTTAGTCACACTGTAGAAATTAAAAGCACGCCAAATATAATAACTAAAAGGCAGGCGTCGTTGGGTCAGCCACATATCCAAGAAAAGATAAAAAGGTGGGCAGGCAACCGCATATACAAGTCTGGTCCAAATTTTATAAATAAATTAGAAATCAAAATTAAGGCACGGGATAAGAGCCTGCAGCTTTTGTTCACTGTCATGTGGTTCCACCCGATAGAGGTCTAGAACCCATGCTCATACATTATTTCTAACACAGACTCTAAGGACTCTAAAAGGTATATGGTAAAATCTAAAATAAGACTCAACCTGTAAAACAACTGTTAGCACAGGTTATAGGCATGTAATGTAATAATCCATGCCCGGTGGGAGGAGAGCTTAGCATACATAATAATGACTATAATGGTTTTAATGTATGCTTTAGAGAGGTTACGATAATTCTGGAGTCCATTTGAATTAAGATAAATTTTTATTCAATTTTAGGCTTTAGAATAAGTTGATTGAACAAGATTTACGTTTAAATTAGGTTTGTTTTAATTTTAGTTCAACTGAAAATTAAATTTGTATCTAAATTCAATTTATTTCATTTTTTAGCTGAAGTGAAGCTCAAGTCTCAGCTGACTCAAGCTCAACCCAGGTACCTAGTGCAAGAGGAAATGACCTTGGGTCTAGATGGAATTTGGATATGAATTAAGAGATAGAGTTGAACAAAAATAAGGTCAGCACATGCAGTCATTCCATGTCAGAATATCTAGTGCCCAATACATCAATAGTATTTTTTTCCATCATTTATGGATTTTTCATTCATGGAGTCATCCATTGCCTGCATGTCATCTTGATATCTTTCTTAAAGGAATGTCCATATATAATTTTGGACTATATGGTATCAGTTTCATAGAATGTTTAATTCTCCATCAAACTTCCCACGTTATTTTACATTTTCCCAACTAGCTTCTTTATCAGCTCATCTCTGAATCCTTCATTTGAAGGGTTTGTCATCCCATGAACTAGCTTTAGATTTTTTTTACAAATACTTATAACATTTTTTGAGGTAGATCTGAAGGACCACTTATGATGCTAAGAAGCCTGCTAGACATGTAATATCGATAATAATTTACAAGTTCAAACACCTATCACTTGGGATTCATTATTTAAGATTATGTACTTATTGTCTACCCCTCTTTCCTTGTTGCACTCATGTTTATGCAGCAGCCATTAATGAATATTTATCCACTAACTTTGATGCCCATCACTCTTTAATATCTTGCTTATGCACATCTATCTTCATGGCAGGAAAGTTGGGTTAGGGGGCATAATTAAATAAGTTGAGAAATTAATAACACAAATATGATAAGAATGCATTAAGGATTCACATTCTTCACAAGGAGAGCGTTTCCAACCATATATTTGCAGAGCTAGTTCTTCCCATCAAGATTGATTTTAAATTCAAATGAAAATGTAGCTGCATTTGTCTTTGAAACACAAAGGCTTATAAAGGTGAAATAGGATTTATTATTAGTAAGTGTGTTGATAATGTGAGGAACTCCAAATTGAGTTTAGATTTTAGAAATTCCTTTTTTTTAACAATTTAAAAGTGTATCAATGAGTTTATTGTAAATGTGATGGAAGAAAATTTCAGTATAACGGGCATTAAGCCCTTAAACTATTTTTGAAATATAAATGATTTTTTGCGCCTCCCAATTGAACAATATAGAAATCTTTCTTGCAAATGAACTTGAAACTAAAAAAACCTTTCATTAAAAGTAAGAAGTTAAATGCTACATTTTAACACCCATACTTTTTCTCTTGCATCTTGTGGGGTATTATAGAAGGACATTTTTTCCAGTAAATAACCAACTAGCGGTAGCTCTTATTCATTGAAACCCTCATATGTTTCTTTTTTAGAGAAGAAAATAATATTGTTAAGACACAACATGAAATTGAGCTAGAAATTAAGAGAAAAAGGGTTATTGTTCTTTGAGGACCCCTTTCTAATTTATAGTGGTGATTTGTTGGGAAAAAGGAGGGTAAAAAAAGTGTAGAGAAAGAGAAATTTGAGGAAGGGTGAGGAAGAGAAGAAGTAGTGTCAAAAAAAAAAGTTAGCTCGAGCAAGGAGCCCAACGATGAGTTGTCAATGCTTTAAACCGAAAAAGATTTATACAAACAAGAAATCATTTTATTGAATGTGCTTTCAAGTGGAGAGGAGGGGGCAATCTCTTCTCCTAGGAAGTGAAGAATTAATCAGGACCGGAGAAGTGGAGTCGCCAACAAATGAACAATAGGGGACCCATAGGTTAGGGTTTAAGCTTATTTGGTTGCATTGGATATCACAATTCATATCTATTAGAAATTAAAGTTATTAGGTTTTTGGGTTTTTTACATAACAATCACCCAAAACATTGAATATAACATTTTAACAATTTAAACTTTAAATGTTGTTGAATCCTAAATTGTTTTTCCCAAATACACGCCTTGAGAGTTAGAGCCAAAAGGAGGGAAAGAAGAAAGAGAGAGTAGAGTGGTTAGAGAATGGGTAGAGAATTCGGGGGAAAGGGTCCCCTTATTTATCTTCTGGCCCTCTATTTATAGGAACCTATTTCTACAATTATAGAGAGGAGGGAACAACAATGAACACCACTCATAATGTAATTAATTTGTTGATTTAATACTGGATTTGTGTTATAATTTGAATGAAATACGATGGCTATCAGCTGTTTGACATATTCGAGTTTGATTGTCCGAGGCGACCGGTCACTTTGTGATCACTCCAGTCGAGGAAAAACTGGTCGATCGACTAATTATGACTAAACATTTTTACAAGGAGTCTAGGTAGCTGAGACCATAGGGTTGATTTGTTGGATCTACTGACATCGCATGTCAATCTACTCCCTGAAGCGGTTGATCGTTGGATGGCTAACTAGAGTATGATCTTTAAACTTGACGCTTCGATTTTCTGGCCACTATCCTTGGCTGTTTGATTGCTTTGAGATTCGTGCTGGTAATTTTGGTGCAGACAAATATAATATTTTAACTACCAAAAACCTTAAATATACTATTTTAATCACCTTATTGAAATAAGTGGTCTAAATCTTACAATTAATGTTTGGGTAGTTAAAATATTATATTCAATTTCTTGGGTTGTTGTTATGTAAGAACTCTCAGGTTGCATACACAGATGTTGAAATATGATGACAGTCGGTCCATAATGAACTAAACCCACCTGCCGAAGTTAATAAATTGGACCCATCTATTGAAGTTGTTGAACTGAGTCCATCTGTTTAAATGATCAAATAACAGACGTCAAACAAAGTCCACTATCAAAAAGAACCAGTGTGACTGATAGAGATGCATATCAATCCTTCATTAAGGAGTTTTCAGACAATCAGAACAAAAGTCTTCTAAAAGCGTCGGAGACTGTTGTCGTACCAACCATATCAGACAGCTCGATGGCTACAAAATCTCATCCATAAAATTGCCAGCATAGGGCACCAGAGAAAGCCAGCATGCGATACTCCTTCAATTATTTTATAATGTTGATCCTTCATGTAAATAAAAAGAGCATGATACTCCTCTCTCAAGTATCCTTCCTCTGTTCTCGATTCTAGAAGAACATTGACCTAAAAAAACTTTTAACCGAAGAAATTCCAGAGGAGCTTGTTACTATTAATCGTAATCCTATAACTCTGAATTCTTCGGGGAAAATTTCATCCATATCTCAATTTAATGAAAATACATAAAGCTAGATATTCAACCCAATTTATTTCTCTTCATTAAAAAATTAATAAAAAAATATTAAAATAAAAGCTGTGAAACATAAAAATATTACTCGAAGGTGATGAGTTGTTCGTGAAAAACCTCAACCCCTCCATTTGGCCTTTCACTCATTTATCCTCCATTTTTATCTCACAATTCTACAAAATTTTTTACATCATCGATTTCCCAAGTTCAAAAGATTTGACTGCTAGACGGTCGGATCCAAAAAAAAAAAAAAAAAACCCGGTCGAGCGCGGGAGCTTATACACAGAATGACCGGTTCATCCTCCCAGCGTGCCGAGACCGCCCGCTCAAACCCAGCACCACCACCGCATCTCGGACACCGCTATTACCTAGGCCACGGAAGCCGGAGTGATCGTCGGACCTCTTCCATCGCCGGCGATCGGCGTAATTGAACCGCT